AAAGAGATGCCATCTGACAACCGTAAACCTGGGGCGGCAAGCAGACCACTGCTGGCCGCTCCTTGAAGAAGTACCTGCACGACAAGGAAAGCGATGAGTACAAGACTCGCAGGCAGCGCAACAACGTTGCCGTGCGCAAGAGTCGGGACCGCAGCCGCAAGAAGGCGGAGGAGACACAGGAGCGGGTGCAGCAGTTGAAGGAGGAGAACCAGCAGCTGGAGAGCAAGGTCATGCTGCTGTCCAAAGAGCTGAGTCTGCTCAAGGATCTCTTCCTGGCTCACGCTAGGGAAGTACCAGATCCCAGCACCACCTTCGGTCTGTACACAGCCGGCCCGGATGTCGCCAGCCGTCTGCAGAACCAGGAGGTCAATTCGGAGCAGCCGGGCATGGAGTCAGCCAATAACCAGCTGACTCAGGCGTCATCTGATCATACCTACGTTGTGACAGTTAACCAGGAGGGGGTGAAAACGGAGGCGTGATCCATGGCCCCGTGTCTCTGATATCACTTTGGAGACATTTGTGTAAATAATAGTTGAAGAGAAAGAAATGAAAAAAACAAAATATCTCGTAAAATTTTGTTATACCCCCTCCTTAAAGACAGACCGCCACAGTGCATTGCCATTGATAGCAAATCCTTTTATAGTTAGCTGACAAGTCTTTCGATTGATTTAAAAAACAAAACCAGTGTTACAAAGAAACTATAATGTAGTTTGAATTTCTGGCGAATGAAAAGTGTGTATATTAGCTTCTTAAAAACCTATTTCTGGCTACTGTACGTAATGTTATGTTTGATGCCTGTTTCAGATTTATGTGTGAACTAAACTATCATGGTTGCTCTCCAATGTTTCTTGGTTTTTCATCAAAGAGATCCTAATTTTATAATTTTATTCACAAAAGTTTCTGCTTGTAAAGTTATATGCCATAAATCCACATCTATTCCTCCAACGAGCAGCTTGTATAATGATAACTTTTCCATTAGAAAGCTATAAAAAGGAATGGGTTCTACTAGTACTATGCACAATTTGTAGAAGACGTTATCTCAAGATAAAATTGAAAGAGCGTGTTCAAAGAATAAGAAACTAAGACTGGGCAAGCTTGGTAGAGCTGGTCCCAGAACACACAAAATTCTCTTCAATTGATTCAGAATGGCTATTCACTGGAAGTCTTTTCATGCATCTGGTCCGCAGAATGGGCCCAGTCTAGCCCATTCATTGGCATTATGGGGTAATCATATAGGATGGCACTGCCCGGCAGTAGTGCTATCGTAGAGATAGATATGAAGATAGAGACAAAGAGATGGGTACAAAGAGGACTCTAGGGCTGGCCCTCTGGGACCAGCCCCCCCCCCCCCCCCCAAAAAAAAAACCTAGTAATATCTGATTTACATGTTCATTCATACTTGTACTTGTTGTGTTGGCACATCTCTCAGTCTTGACTAGTGCTACAACTGACTTCCACCAGAGTGAGCTGCTTTTAAGGACTTATTCTTGCAGTTGAACCATTTTGTTGGTGCTTGTCCTTTCGTAGTTCATGTAGGATGCGGAATGCGTTTCAAGTCCAATTGATAACTGGATCCTGTTGTTGGAAACTTTTTGCTTTGTATTAAAGGTTTAAACTTGGACCAGTAACTGTTGTCCATTCATCAGTCTTCAGCTCAGCTGACGTGGAAAAAAACATAATTAGTTATCCCACTAGTGTGAGTGGAACACAGAATAATATAGTACGTCTCTATGTTTTCTATATGTCACTTGGCATATATGGAACACACAGGTACTACATTTTCCGTATTCCACAAGCGCGAGTGGCATAATGAATTTATCTTCAAGCAAACAAGCGGTATACATGTGCCTGCAGTAGGAATAGAGCATACATCAGAATAGCGCGATACGCGCAGTGTGACATGGATCCCTGGTATATGGGATAATATCACACTATTGTTGCCGTGGATCAACCATCAAGATCGAGGACTCAAGTTTGCTTGAAGATAAATAAGGATTCCAGATTTCATAAAAAAAATAATGTACATATACCAAGCCTGGTTTTCTTGATATTCAAGAGCAGAACTGAAATAAACATTATTGACATAAAATGAGCAGTGTAGATAACGGTTTTGATAACCCGAAACCTGGAACTTTTCATGCGCAAACCTACTGTAACACTATGTTCAACAGCTGCATGCAAGTTCATCATGCATGCATACACATTGAAGTCATACTTTGTGTGAGGATTTTGCAAAAGAAGAGAACTTTAGTCCAGGGATGTAGTCCAGTCCATCACAAGTCCCTGCAAGTCCATCACAAGTCCTCCAGTCCCAGTTCAAATCACAAGCTACTCAAATGAGCTTTGACAAGGCATGCCTTTGTTATTGTTCATGCACTGTGTCTGTGACTGGACTTGTGACTGGACTTGTGATGGACTTGTGATGGACTCGACTACATCCCTGAATTATAGTCAGAGGGTGTTATTGTTTATATGTTTTTTCCAGTATAATTAATCCAAAGACAACACACTGACAATACATGTAAAAAAAAAAAATTATAACACACACTTAACTTGAATAGGGCCTATCAGTCACATTCTCTCATTTTTGTAGTGAATATGGCCAGTCCATTGAAATCAAGTGTTTTATGTTTAAACTCCATTAGAATATATCTACTGAGCAGTGAGCACCCAGAACACAAATGATTTGGTTAATTTGAACATTGGGGTTTCATTTTTGCCTTTTTTTTAACATTGCCAATAGCATGGTAGAATAATGCTACAAAAATATAAGCTGCCTTTTTATCGAGAATTTTTTTTTTTTTGGCAAAAAAAAAAAACTTGGTTGTTTTTTTTCATAACCCTGTGTTTTTACTTGCAAAAGCCTGTGTATAATTTTCCTTTGGTATTGATGGCTATACCTTGTAATGACTAGGGTGTCCATATTAACAAAAATCAAAAGATCACGTTGGATTTTTAACATGTTACCATAGTCATTGTTGGCAAAGAATTGTGTACAATAACAATTAATAAGTGAATTGCAGAAAAAAACACAGTTGAGTCAGTCCTGATTAATAATTGCTTGTGATTAATTTAATTAGACATTTTCGTTTGATAAGCCGCAAGGCACATGAAGCCATCACTGTTGTATGTCGTGTTTGTCAGTCAGGTGATGTGCTTGAGTTTGACCCACTGATCTCTATATAAAGACTGGATAGCTAATAAAGAGCCGCACAATGTACGAATTTGACGCCATATTGGTGAGACCGGCTGGTGATCTACAAAGGACAAGTTGCCGTGTTTATAGACAGCTTGATTTCTTTTGTAACGTCGCGGCTCACTTGACTTATATTTTGGCCACCACCACTGACCAACTGATCAAGGTTTACTACAATTTTTCTAACGTAGTGGTTACTTTTATAATGCCGCAAATCACTTTTTCGGCGTTTTTGAAATAATAATCACTACGGAAATGTGTTCCTTTTAGAACATCAGAATATGTGTACGTGACCAAATGCGCGTCAACTGTTGATACAACGCGCGCGTATTTACGCGTAGAACGGTCGTATTATACGCGGCCATCTTCGTGAGACCGGGGCGAATTGGTCAATATGCAAAGTCTACTGTGTGAATGTTGTATGCATATCCGCTATCCAGTCTTTATATAGAGATCAGTGGTTTGACCTTACATAACCGGGTAATGTCACTATTCAAAATGTGTGCTGCTAAATGTTGAAATATCAAACTCAGCTTAAAAAAAACGAACTTTAAACAGTTTCATAGCGCTATGGAATGGCCTTGTAGGAGAGGGTGAAATATTCTGATATTTTCCCGCTTACCCCCCACCCCCCGACATGGGTGGCCCACATTTTCGGCCATTTCCTGGACATGTGCAAAGAGAAGGGAGGGGAACAAATGGGAGTCACGCCCCCCTCATAAAGTGTTGTTTACGCGTACATGTACATGTAGGATATCGATAGAGCCTGTACAGTCTACCTGTATAGCGCCCTCAAGGGAACAAGTGATTCAGCACATGGACTTTGATATTGAAGACCGTACCGGCATAATCAAAGATAAATTTACCAAGTTTCGAAGTAACTTCTCGTCCAGTATTTCGTCTTGACATGCCAGTATGAGGGTGCAAGGGAAAGTTGCCTTGATCACGGAGCTGCTGAGGGGTTTGGAAGAGCATTTGCCGAAGAATTGTTGAAGAAGGGTGCCAAGGTAAAGAAGTTGACAAGGCGCACCGCAGCTGTGTCCAATTTACTGGACTGGGGCCTCCGTAAATAAAGGCCACACTTGGTTGGAGTTGGAACATGTAGGCCCTAACCAAAAATGTAGGACTTTGTCAAGTTTTTATTTTCACATTTAGACTTCGTTAGTTTGTTTGTAGTTTATTTATGCTTTAGAAGCACAAGAATTTTTGCTGAATTTTTGACGCTGATTTTTTCTTCATAATCATCTCAGTGAAGGTCAGTCATTGCAAAAATGATGATATAAAGACATGAATCTGGGACTGAGAAACATTTCCATTTTTGTTAGAAATAGGCCCTACTTGTAAAATTTCTTGACTCTCCGTAAACTTTGTACACAACCACCGAAGTAGCGTCAGGTTGCAAAATTCTTTCCGAAGCATACTCACCCTCTTTAAAGCGAAAGAAAATTATTCCCCCCTTTTTCATCATGTTCATACGTCTATTTTTGGTGTAATTTCGTGTTGGGATTTAGATAGGCAGTGTATATTTTGCCGGAGACGGCAAACCTTTAGTAAACGTTAGTTTGCCGGATATGCACTGAACATGCGCAGTTACTGGTTTTTTTTACTTAACACATTTTCCGGTGACAAGTTTTAGTCTGGCTCCATGCCAAAATTAGCGTTGTTACCTCGTATTCACAAGATGGGATTCAGACCATTTTATATTTCGAACTTTATTTCCCTTTTAAAAAAAATCCTCCAGAGCCACAAATCTGAAAAAGAAAATGTAATACTCTGCAAAAAATGTTTGAGACATGTTAAAATAATAAAAGAAGAATATTCTTATTTATTAATTGGGGATGAGAAAAAAAAACTTAAAAATGTGGTGCGGTCGGAATCGAACGCGAGTCATCCCGCTTAATAGAGCCTTTGCTTAACCATTACACCAAACGTGCTTCACAACTATTGGTGGGAATTTAATACATCTTATAATTCAGCCCCTTTTTAAAGAGTACAGCGCCCTCTGTTGATATGGATTGCCGCCGGCAAACCTTTAGTAATCGTTAGTTTGCCGTCATTACCTCCGGCAAAATATATATCCACTATCATTTAGATACGCTAACGACTAACATGTGCAAAATGAACCTGGAAATTACACAAAATATGGACGTCTGAAAAAGGGGGGAATACTTTTCTTTCGCTTTAAAGAGGGCGAGTGTGCTTCTAAAGCATAAATAAACTACAAACAAAGTCTAAATGTGAAAATAAAAACTTGACAAAGTTCTACATATTTGGGTACATGTTCCAAGTGTGGCCTTTATTTACGGAGGTAGTCCAGTAAATTGGCCACATTTATGGGGCTATCCATACCGTACATTCACGCCACAGGTGAGACACTTTCATTTTCACTAGTGGAAGGAAAAAAATACAAAACATGATTTGTGGACAATTTAATTTTCTTGGTTGTGAAGAATCGGCACTCATTTCTGGTTTGGAAGCACACTTACCTGGTTTACCGTTCCTATGGGAACTAATTCAAGCAATAATGTGAACTTTTATGGTATTAAATTTTCACAGGGGAAATTAGGAAAAATTTGATTATTTATGTCTCCCCTTACCTTAAATTGCATGGCAACTCTTGGAGTTTGAATTTGAGTAATGTGTACATGCGCAGTTGGGATTAGATGGTTTCATGATAACACGTAAAAATTGCAGTGTCGTCATGCCACCATGTTTTACCCTAATGCTCACATTACCTCTTTGATAATCATCATGTGTTGTCATGGCAAATAATATGGCATCAAGATACTACCTTCTTTCCCAAAACTTCATCACAACTAATATCTCACATTTTTTTAGGGGATTGGAATAGCAGATGTTAATCATCAGAAGGACAGGAGACTACTCGACGTTTCACCTCTCAGTATGGCAGCAACAAGGCCGTCTTTCTTCCATGTGATGTCACATCGGACCAACAGCTAGAAGGTGAACCATCATGAGTCTGGTCAAACGTACATCACAAGTCCTTTCACAAGTCCAGTTACAAGTAACCGGGAATGACGAACAACACATAAATGCTTTTGTCAGAGTGCGCCAGAATAGCTGGGGCTGACTTGTGATCATCTTGTGAGAACTCAACTGCAGCTATGATTACAAGTCTAGAATCTGGTAGAAAGGGTGATGGCTTTGGACACAAAAGTATCAACGATTTGGACAGAAAAGTATCAAGGCCGCCTCGTCCCTTTTAAATTTTTTGTTTTTACTTGGCCTTACTGCCCTGTTTAATCATGATCATTCCAGTTTGGTTTTCAACACCCTGTTTCGTTCTTTCTTTAGACGCTTTCAAGAAAACAAGAGAGAAGTATGGCCAGCTGGACATTGTGTGCAACAATGCAGGCGTAGGGGACGAAAAGAAATGGAGACAAATGATTAACATTAACTTGGTAAGAATTCTTAAATAATATTATTAAGATTATACATGTAGATCTTATAGATAAGAAAGAAAGAACAATTATATATCAATGGGCAATTATGGAGGCATCTTCTGAAGCTGGGGGCTTAGATGCCTTGCATTGTCAGGTCGGATGAATCCGAATCATTTTTAAGAATTGTGGCCAATATCACAAAAGGCTTTGAATGAGCCGAGCTGAGAACTGCTCGATCACGCTATAACGCCCTTAATTAACAGTGAAATAATGACATGATAAGAAATTTTATACCAGCTGAATCTTGTGTTACACTACATATTATTATTACATTAACTCTACCATATTTTGGGCCCATTTATCTACAGACTGCTGTTGTTCACGGTACCTACTTGGCCAGGAAGTACATGAGCAAACTGAACGGTGGATCTGGGGGTGTTGTCGTCAATGTTTCCTCAATGGCAGGTAAGTTGAATATGCAGTGGCTGCATTACTAAATTGACTACCCGCTTAGACCTTTCAGAATTCAATGGGCAGTATACCTTGATTGCCTATGTACTAGGTCATATGTTGGAGTAAACGAGGTAACATTGCTATCTTCTGGGTACCAAGAAAAATCCAAATTATTGAAGCAGTTGAGTAACTTTACTTAAGGTATTGTAGATCATTTGTCATTTGTGCATTTTTCTTATCATTTGAAGCAACGAAAGTGCTCAAAATCTAAAGACAGGTGCTTAACAACTTACCTGATGAAGTTTTAGCTCGGTGAATGCTTTATATTCGGAGAAAACAATGTTCTAGGATCTCAATTTCAATTCAAAAGTTTTGAATTGCACCCGAAATCAGCATTCGGATCATGTTCTTAATCAGCCGATTGTAGCTACCATGTCACGCACTGAACTGACTAATAATAGCAACCATGCATGTACGTGTGATTTTCATAATTCTTGGATTCGCCCAATTACAAACCAACTCTTTGGAAATGGCCTTCTTATATTTTTGACTTCAAAATGACAGCATGCCAGAAGGAATAATTTCACAGGGTGTTGACTGCCTTTACTATCTTTAAACCAAATGGTCTACTTTACCTTGAATGTGTTGTCTGATTGGCAGGTTTGATTCTTGGTCCCCTGTGCCCGGTGTACACAGCCACCAAGCATGGCGTTGTGGGATTCACAAGGACTATGGCTGTAAGTACAGACATTTGCCCACAATTTGGATAAAAAATAGCTATACAGATACTCGATTGTTTATCAAATATTCAAATATGTGGTATAACACAGCCCTACCACTCACATCACTCAGAACAATTGATAACTTTCCTGATCTCTGGAAACTTTACTGGAAAAGAATGCTTCACCGAGTCGTCTGTCATTCTTTTCTTTTTTCTTTTCAAACAGTCATTTGATCCGGCCTTCACAGCAGATGACATCCGCATCAATACCCTGTGTCCCTCCTTCTCTGACACAGCCATTGTTGGCAAGACAGATGCCCCTGAATTCATCAGCTCTAACGTGATGAAACGGGTCACAGGAACTATCAAGTTGTTGCCGTAAGCCATGAATAATGATCAACTACAAATGATTTACAATGCAGTGTTGTTGTGGTCAAGTGCATATTATTAATAATGTGGTGCTTATATAGCACTTGAAACCGAAGGACGTCACAATTATTACCCCTGTTTGTCAGGCCATGACACTAGTTTCCTGCAGCAGCTTGAGATTTCACCGACTTCCTACTTGTCTATTTGCAGGGTTTCCACGGTTGCAGAGGGCTTCATGAGACTAGTGGAGGAGGATACTCACGATAAGGTCATGCGGGTCACCCACGAAAGAGGCATCGACTTCCATCCATTCAAAAAGACCCCTCCAGTGCCTAGCAAGATGTGAACCCTTATCACCAAACCCCAAAGAGATGGTCTCATGATCAAGAAAAGTCTTGGATTATTAACCAAATTACACCAATTTTTGAACACAAATAAAGTTAGAGTACGAAGGATCATTTGCATTTCATGCATTTTTTTTGTTTGTTGGAAGCAACAAAACTGTTCCAAATCTTAAGTTAGTGGGTGCACAACAACCAACTGTTGACGTTTCAGCGCACTGGATACTACGCACAATATTTTGGTCTCGTAAGTGGGAGTGTGTGTGGCCTGGTGGTTAGGGTTCGTGACTCATGATCAGAGGTCAGGGGTTCGAATCCAGCTGCTGGCCATATGTTGTGTCCTTGGGCAAGCCACTTCACCCCACTTGCCTCTCTTTACCCAGGAGTATAAATGGGTACCGGCATTAGCTGGGGAGTAACCTGCGATGGACCAGCATCCCATCCAGGGGGAATAGAAATATTCTCAGTCGTTTCATGCTACTGAAACCGGAGATAAACGCCGGCCTGATGGGCCACATTGGCTCATGACAGACTTTACCTTCACCAAGTGGGCTCTGCTACTAGCACTTCCATTTTAAAAGATGCGGGCTCAATATATTTTAATACCTCCTCTTGTGTACAATCCCTTTGATTTTTTCTTCTAAACTGTTTTCTTTAAATCAGTGGGTTCATGTACAGGTAATTACCAATGTTCCTACATGGCTTTAAAGGCATTGCAAACACATGAGCACTGCTGCTTCTACACTTTTAGGGAGCAATGATTTGATTGAATATTCGAATGGTTGGTATATATTTGGCACAAATCCTAGACAATTCAGGTTATTTAACATGCGGTTGGGCTTTTACTTAAGCTCATGCACTGGACTCGTATTTAAAATTCTAAATTTGAATGAAAATACTTGAGTTGCTTGATAAATTTAGTCTTAATTGTAGAAAACTTTTTCATCTAGTTATCATCTAGTAATAGAAATGTTTCTTGCAAACTGAAATGTGCATCAATGAAAGAGATAAGTGTGTAATGTTTCACTTAAAGGGAATCTCGAGATATACAAATCTACAAGTATAAAGTGCATCATGAATTTCAAAATATTTCATACTTTTGTGATGTGTTGATAATTTCTGTCATACTTTGATGGGAAAGAATTGTAAAGGTTTTTATAAATGTAGTTATATTTTGTATAATTTGATATTTTCATAGAGCAAAATAACTTAAAATATAATAAATGTAACCAACAAAAATGAGTGCCATACTGTCCAACATTTTTGCCATAAATGGCAAAAATTAACTAGATTACTTGCTTATTTGTTGTAAATCCCAGGGAAACAAGTGCATCTGGTTTTATAATAATAAATATTAAGTAATAATTATATTAATGTAACCAATTTTGATTTCAATCATCAAAATTAAAGATTGTTTTTAAAAATGATGTTGTAAATGTGGCAGGGCCAAGTTTCACTTGAAGTTTGCAATGTATTTTTTTTTTTTAGCGTTTTAGTATAGGAGTAGCCCCCTGAATAACTCCAGCCTCTTACCCTTTCATAATAGTGTGTACCCCTGATAAACTTCCCCCCTTCCCTAGTAACATGACCCCTTAGGCCACAGGCCCCTCACTCAGTTGAGACCAGCGGCAGTAGAGACGGGACTATACAAACGCCCTGCCAATGAAATTGTGCTTTTATGTGCTTAATCATTAAATGTATTACATGTATTAAGTTTTTCGAAGTTTTGAAAGGTCTTTAGTAATGTTCACAGCTCTGTCAAGTTTTATACAGTTCATGTAGGAATTATTACTTGAAGTTGTGAGATTGAATTTAGAATTGCTTGAGGAATGTTTGCTTGTATTGTTTAATTTGATGGATCACGAACCCTGAGTTTGGGGGTTTTTTTAAGAAAATGTCGATGTCACAAGGTTGAATTGTTGACTTAGTTTTCTTGCTTCATTGTGGATGATAGCATTTTACTTTATTTTAGGGCAAAGGGGAAGTATTGGTTATTCATATTCCATCCAGTGCCGCTGTTGTGCGCCTTTTAGCTGTCGAGCGCCCCCAACTGCAGTAAATCAAATTCACTTGTACACAATTCGCTGGGCCACCAATCAAGTAACACCAAATGGCGCCGTGGAAAAGCATAGGGCAGATATAGGGCGCGCAGTAAGAAGATTCGACAGTGGATCGGTTCCCATCTACGTGTTTTTTGCAGTGTCGGCCGCCCCTATAATATTAGCACGGCACTGTGAATCTTCTTATCTGTCCACGCCGGTGTGCGAATTGCAGACTTGACTTTAGGCCAATTGAGGAGGTACGTGCCCTGCGGACAACTCAAAGTCGAGTGCTTGCAGTACTGATAAAAATAATGTATTACGTAAGGCCGCGAATAAACACCAGATTTCAATGTATAGTACATTAAGTACTGTTACGCCCCAACTATCGCATCGGTCCCAACTATAGTTGGGACTGTCCCAACTATAGTGCGGCAGTTGGGTCGGCCCAACTATAGTATACAAATATTGAGTGGCTCGGAGTGGAATGGGAGGAATATTATCGCGAGGTAAAATCTGGACTTTTCCATTTCACGAGGCGAAGCCGAGTGAACTGGAAAAGTCCAGATTTTACCGAGCGATAATATTCCTCCCATTTCACAATTTAAAGCCACTCAATATTTGTTTTATATAACTGACATATAGATCCTTGTCATTTGATATATTTTGAACCTTTTTTTTCAATACAAACTGAAGGAAAATCTATCTCTCTCTTCCAAACCACCCCATCACGAAATGTTTGAACCTAACGCTGTAGCGCTGGCTCTTTGGAACAATACGCGCTACGCGCAACGCTGAACGCGCACACCAGCATGCATTTGCACACAAATACCGCGTCATGATCCTAACTGTTGAATAGTATACAAATATTGAATGCTTCGAGTGGTGTAGTAAAACTAGCCTCCCGAGGTGATCCATGGACCATTCTATTTTCCCGAGGCGAAGCCGAGGGAAAATAGAATGGTCCATGGATCACCGAGGGAGGCTAGTTTTACTTCACCACGAGATAAAGCATTCAATATTTGTTTTATAACACTTCACCCACAGATTCTGCTTGATTTTAATATTTTACATTATTTAAATCTGAACACAGCTGAAATAAATTTAAATTTCAATACAAAATTGGTGGAAAATGTATTTCTCTCTTAAAAACTAACCCTTCACGAAATGTTTGAACCCAAGTCTGCGGCGCGCTCTCTTTGGAATAATACGCGCTACGCACAACGCGCAACGCGCACACCAGCATGCATTTGCACACAAATACCGCGCCGTGGAAATAGTACTTTGGTTGCTAATGGTATAGTACTTTGGTTGCTATGCGCATAGTACTTTTGGCCATGCACAGAAAGATAGCAAAATTAGAAGTAACATGTGACTCGCTCTCGGCCAATCGAGACACAGAATCTGTGGGTGAGGTGTTATAATATTTCCATTCCCCATGGGCGGATAGTACTTTTTGAGCCGCGGCGTAAATGGGAGAAATAACGAATGCCATGTGATGTGAGTTCCACCAATCAAATGACTAGGATCTGTATGTCAGTTATATAATTAGGACTGGAGTTGCGCCGGATGCTTCATGCTTGATAGATCTTGTTCAGTGGATTAAATGTTCCGCGGCGCTGGCACTGTGTATTCGTCGTGCATGCATATCATGCCGCAAGGCTGGCCGGTCACGTGGTACTGCCTAGTTGGTCCAGCAACATTTTGCAAAATTCAAAGATTGCCATGGCCTGCCGGCCAACTATAGATGGGCCCCACTCATAGCTAATGTCAAAGGTCCCAAGTAAAGTCGGACATGTAACAGAGCCGGAGCTGTAGGGAATGTTTTATCATGAGTTGTACATCATTGTAAACTGTAGTTGGGACCGCCAGATAAAAATATTGCGGTGGCCCAACTACAGATGGTCCCCACCCATAGATAATTTCATTGGTCCCAAGTAAAGTCAAATGTGTATTAGAGTTGAAGGGCATGTTTTATATTCGTACAACAATGTACACTATAGTTGGGACCGCAAAATAAAAAGATTGGGTGGCCCAACTATAGATTCGCCCCATCAATAGCTAATTTCAGTGGTCCCCAGTAAAGTCAGACACGTATCAGAGCTGTAGGGAACGTTTTTAGTTGTACATCAATGTAAACTATAGTTGGGACACCGCCGAAATAAAAGATCGGAGTGGCCCAATAGATGGGCCAGCCCAACAGTGGAACTTACAGTTGGGACCGTCCCAACTATAGTTGGGCTGTGTGGAACTACAGTTGGGACAGGCCCAACTATAGTTGGGCCTGGGACCGATGCGATAGTTGGGGCGTAGTAACATTACACCAACATGGCGCTGTGTCTAGTTCTCTTTATTACGTCGTTGGCGATTGTGAGTCCAGTCGCCCATGCCGAGATATTAAGTCTGAAATCGTCTTGGCTTCGCACGGATGGCACGGATGCTTCGTGGACAGGATACGAGGAGGGCGATACGGCCATTCTGCACTGTGTGGGTCGGGAAACGTCTCTCAACCGCCCATTTGACTCGATTGAGATACACTGGCTAAGCTGGCCCGGCCATGATGATGATGACTGGGTTACCGTTGCTGATCATGAGAACATCGTTTACTTCGACGGACGGGACCGGTTTTCCCGACCGAATCTCACCGTCAACGGCCAGAATGAGACCGTATACCGCATGGCCATCAGCCCGATAGACCGGTACGACGGCGGGGAAGCCGCCGCGGTTCGGCTGTCACTTCGGTTTTTCATCAGTGAGTGGGAGAACCGCACGGTCAATAGACGTCAGCTGGAATCCGCCCTCAGCGACATGCTCTGGCTCCATTCTCCCCGATTCCAAAGCCAAGAAAGGCGATGATGTGTCGCGCTACTGCAACGTCACTGATGTCGACAGACTGTCCCGTGGGTCGGTCACTTTGTGGAATGGCGACGTCAGACTCGCCGTAGATGAAACCAAGACTCCTCAAACTCCTTACGAACACGAATACGGCATCAACAACACAAACACGGTGACTGATGATACTGCACACCTCGTGTACACGTGCCGCTATAGTGCCACCGGTGGTTTTGAGGAGTACGAGTCCAACTGCACCTTCAACCAGCCTCTTTGTGTTGTGGATGATTTGGCTGATCTCTGTCCATCGAGTGCTACTGACCCTAGAGGATTCATGATGTCATCCGTCTACATAGGCCTACTCGTGATGGTATCGTCTCGAATCATTGTCATCTGAACTTCGCCGATTGCAGCAAGTTCCACAAATCATGTACATAATTGTGTAGCAAGTTGGCGACATAGTTTACAAGGGAACAGGAACGTCTTCTGGATCATCTTCTTAATTCTCCAACTCTGATTGAGACTTGAAGCATCGACCGGCAAATCTCAAAGTCAGCAGGACAGTCATCACGAGCCACAGAACAGTCTTAGCTGACTGCCGGTACATGTACTATTTTTGCTGGCCACATTATCAGCCACCCCCTAACATTGTCTTTTTAATTGCTATTTTCTAGCCATACCAAAGTTTTTCACTTGTAAATGGCACATTGAACGAAGCAAATCCGCCTACGTTTGGTTTTCCCATTGTTTTCGCCGAAACGGATTTTCGCGGCGTTTTCAACTTTTCGTCCCTCTTGTAATCAGCGAATCATTAATTTTGATTGCACAATATACACATTCTTTGTTTAGTACACAGTGTAGTTTTAATAGTTTTCCAATAGATATAATATATAGTTGCTCAATAGTTATGCAGTAATTCCATATGAATATATATAAGACTCCGTTATTAAGACTCCGTTATTATGTGCTTTATTGTATTGTACAGGGTACGTGTCCAAAAATGTCCCTCTGTAGGATGTACAGAATTATCGTAATTAATGAAGAAAATTTCAAATTCAATTATAGAATTGATGAGCTCCGACATTTTTCTTTATTGTGTGAAGTTTTTGTTGGATTCGATTCAGTGGTTTTGAAACAAAGACCATTAATGTAACACCAGTCCATTTTGCTTCATTCCAAGTTTGACAGTACATACCTTACGTGTCCAAAAAGTCCAACTTTTGATCCTAAATAACTCTGTTGTTTTTCAATGGAATTAAACCAAAATTTTAGATCATAAACAAGGTATGGCAAATTTTATAGAGCGAGTTTCATCAGCTTTGTGATCAGATTTATACGCCATACGAAAACAATACTCACGTTCAGAACCTGCCGCTTTCGACTTGACGTCCTCCAATGTAGATGCAGCGCTGGAGGACGGGGCTGAAGCCACGTTCTGAATATTGAAGCTTCTGGATGAATGCAGGATCACTCCTGATGTCCTTGCAAATGATCCAGGACGATCGAGGAGGTGTGCAATGACATCAGGGGTGGTTCTGTATTCCTTCAGAAGCTTCCGGTCGCAGCACGTGGCTAAAGCCCTGCCTCCAGTGCTGTATCGACATTGGAGGACGTCAAGTCGAAAGTGGTATTCTGAAAGTGAGTGAGTAAACTGATGAAACTCGCTCCATAATATTTGTCATGCCTCGTTTACGTGATCTGAATTGTTGGTTTAATTCCATTGGAAAACAACAGAGTTATTAAATCAAAAGTAGGACTTTTTTTGACACGAAGGGTATAGGTCGCAATAGACTGTGTGGGCATACCATGGGTAAAGAAATGTAAAATAAATAAATAAATAAATAACCATGCATGCATGGGATTAGGGTTACGTGCGAGCGAGCAAACGACATTACTGCATTTTTTAGCCGTGGACTTGAGCCATTTTGTTCCTCCATTTAAAAGACACATTTAAAAAAAAGATGTAAAATAAATTGCTTCATCATATTTATTGTTTCTGAACATCAAAACCTACGCACTTTGAAGGATATTATTAATATGCTCTG